AGAGAGAATAAATAAGACAGCCCAATATTTTTAAAAATTGTTATTCTTTTTCCCCGCATATTTAGCATATTTCGCAGCTTTCCGCATTTTTCGCAATTTCACAGAAAAACCCTGCATGTTTAATCGCATAATCAAGGAATTTAGCCCGCATAATCAAGGATTTTAGCCCGCATGATCAAGGAATTTAGCCCGCATGATCAAGGAATTTAGCCCGCATAATCAAGGATTTTTGCCCGCGTTTTTCTGGAGAGTCTAGCTTACAGCTTAGGGCAGCGGTTCCCAACCTTTTTCAACTCAGGGCCCACTTAAGTAAAACATTTTTTTTCGTGGCCCACATTCAACCATAAACAATACGGAGGCTAAATAAAGTACTTTTTATGTTAATTAGAAAAGGAGCTGGCCATCCCGGGCCGCCATTTGCCCATCCCTGCTTTAGAGGATGCAAATGGCCTAGAATCCTAGATAATGGGAAGGCTGTGTCTTGCAAATATTTAAATAAAGAGGATGTTTCCTTTTTGTCATAGTACCTAATTTACTAAATGCTTTTCAAAATGTTCTCTTCTACCTGCATTTTACTTCTAGCTTCTTTAGATGAAGGTGTTTTTATAATGAGGTGCTAGTCTTTAAAATCCTCAGATAATAGAAATATTGTATTTTGGGTCCGAGGTGTTCTTTTGAAAATGTTGTATGAGAAACATAGACTGCTTGCAGAAGTAAACATGCATTATGGGATCTTTAACAAGCCTTTTGAGGCAGATGTTGATTGGTTAGAGTCAAACACTGTTGTGCTTGTCCTATGAGCATGTCTTATTGTGTAGTCCCACTTCCCATCAAGCCTGCAGCTCCAAGTCTTTATTAAGTCCATCGGTGTGTTAACTTGACAGCACTTTGAAGAAAATGGAGACAACTATCTTCGGTAACTACATGACCTTGTCGAAACTGACTAACACAACAGCTTCTGCTCACTCTTTTCCTGCCTCTTTGTTCCATGATATATGGAATTCACTTTTGAGAACTTGAGAATAAATTATTAATAAATAATATAACTACGTCTCATTCCAGTGACGAAGACAGGTTCTTCTTCCTGTCTTACCTGTCCGCCATCAAAATAAAATACTCGCCAGCCTTCTTGCTTTGATCTCTTACAGCTGAGCTGTAATGGCTCCAGAGAACCTGTCATTAACACAGCAGTGTTTCCCCTAGGTTTACTGCTTTGGGGGGTGCTGCCTGAGCGCGGGGGGGATTATTGTTATTGATTAATGCATCAGTGTTTCTTAGGGTCAAAAACACTAAACTCACAACTTAAAATGAAAGTGTTTAGTTTATTTAAGAGCACATGTTCAATGTGAAAAGTGACAGTAGATATAGATTAGTTGCAATTTGGTGCTATGTGTTTTTTTAAACACCTTGAATTTCAGGGGGGGCGCGGGGCTCCGTTGACGGGGCGCAGCACCCCTCCAAGACAATGGTAGGGGAAACACTGCACAGCGTGAGGTCTTCTCTTCTCCTTTATTATAGAGTTATCAAAACAGGAAGTCGCCTTTTTAAATATCGTCTTTTGAAGTTTAGAAGTGACTTTGTTCTGTCTTGCTCAGGCCAGTGTCCAGAAGCTGCTAGCAGAGGGGGGGCAGCTGAACAGCCCTGTGGTTCCCGCAGTGGACAGTGAGACGAGTCTGTCTGAAGAGGATCCACACTGTGTTGTTTACAGGTGAAAACACAATATGAACGGACATAAAACTAAAATATGTTTTCTGTATCGGATGTCATTTGTCTACACTCTGTATGTTGCTGCCTTGTAATGCATTTAAAACTATTCTTTTACATTTTCAAACATTTTGCATGCAATTTAAGTCCAGATGTACGATATGAACAGCTTAACATTGTATATAATCACATCAAACAACTACAATAATGTTGTATTTGTAATTATTAATAGCTATAACAGCAATTCTAGCAGCAATGGTACCTCGGAAACAGTCTGACGGAACACACAAGCATTTTATCAGTGACCAAATTTCCTTTTTTTTTGTTTTCAGTTTTCCATCTCTTGTTATATTAAGATATGCTTATACAATAAGTAGTAAGACTAATTCAATAAAAATGATACTGTATGTATCTTGAGTCCTAAAAAAATGGACACATTTCCAGTTTCCTTTATCGCAATATCTATTGACAATTATTGGAAAAATCCAATCAGTTAAAGTAATCTTTAACTTTGTTTATTTTATGTTTTGGAGAAAGAGAGCTCACTCCCCGGAGCAGAGATATTATTTCCCATTGCAGGAGAGCAGCTCAGGAAAACGTCCATTTGTTACAGCTGCTAACTGAGGGATTGCAGACTGTGCCTGGCAAAAAAGTCTCAGCATCAGGGAGTGAGCTCCTGAGACTCAAAAGCAGGAAGCAAGGGATGCTTCTCTATACAACCAAAATGAACAAGACCGTGAGCCATTTCTTTGAGCTTGTTTGAAGAAAAAAAGTCCTGTTGTGTTAATAGAAGGAAGCCAAATTAAAAGCTCATTAGTTGCTAAATAAATGGAGTAATATTGAGCAACCATTAATTACCACCTATTTGTGTGGCTATTAAAACTGAGTGTACAATAACTTGTACATCAGTGACATTTGCTCATTTGCTTCTTATATGTAAGTTGACAGATCGCATTATTTGTAAAAGAAGATGAAAGGACAGTAAGGGAAAGGACACAATCAACCAAATGCTATAAAATAGGTTTTGTTTCCTTATCTTTTGAACCACTGCAAACCAGATCTATAACATTCTTATGCCAAGTACTTGGTTTGGGCATTGCTTCAAACGTCATCAATGATGCAATCAATTTTGGACCCACATAATATAGGCGCACACTACAAAGCTCCGGGATCCCACTCAGTCTAAACGGCCTCTTCTCTTTATTGAGTTGACAAGACCTGACACATTACATTTGGCAGTGGAACTACACTGCTTCTCTTTGCCTGAAGTTCACCTCCAGCACTTTGTAACATAATGTGGGCTGTGAGCTATCACTGTGCATCCTGCTGCTAAAACAAATTGGTGTTGAATGCCTCATTAGACAACAAATATTTGACACTGTTAAGGTAGCAATGCACTCTGCCTTTTGCATCATACAGACAAAACCTCTCAGCAACTATTCATGTAAAAGTTTAAAAGGAACGTTTTAAAACGTCCTTTGACTTCTTCACCTTTAGTTGTATTGGTCACTAGAGACAACACTATGTGGCCACTGTCTCTCTCAAACTCAAACTTCTTCTCCCTCTCTACTCCCCCCCTCTCCCACAGAGACTGGATCCAGGCTCTTTCTGCCTACGCCACCTCCAGCTTCTTGCGGGCAGCGGAGCTCGGGGCAGAGATGAGGGAGCCGTGGGTGGTAGCGAACGCAGCCGTTTACCTGTGGAACTACAGCAGCCACTTGTTGGCAGCTGGGGAATACCGTCGCCTGCTTCCCACCTTCCATACCTTGGTGGCCATTCTCCAGAAGACAGAGTTCACCAGGTAGGCTGCGTAGGCTACCGCATTCCAAATTGTAATAAGAAAAAGAAGAATGAAAGTAAAAAGGAAGCTCAGGCACTACATGTAGCTATAATATCCTGAACTTTATTGATACATCATAATCCTGCAAGTAATCCTTGTTTTTTCTTAACTGTAAGGGAATACAGTTACTTACTTTTGGTATTCTGATTATGTAATCCCATTACATGTAATCTGTTACTCCCCAAGCCAGATAGAGATTTACCAAATAGTTCAAAGCTGTGAATCTTAATTCATAACGTTGACATTTGAATTTCTAAATCAACATTTTTAATGCTTCAGCCTTTTTTTAGTTGCATTTCTAACAACTGTATGCAGCATCTTTGTCTTTATTATGGTCCCATCAGCACCAGCATGAGCATTAGCCATTCATCCTGCGGTCCACACAAACAGTGGAACACATGCAAACATTTATTGTACATACACACAGACACAGTTTAATCATAATTTCTGAATTGAAGACATTGTTTTAACAACATTTTGAACCAATGTTAAGTATTTTTTTTAAACAGTGCAAAGGCAATGAATTCCAACTGACCATGGTTTTCTACACTACTATTTTCTGATACATTTTTGTTTGGATAACTACGTTTCACTTAGTTACGCATCATTCCGGTAGTCTACCATGGCTGTAAATCAGTGAAAAACATATAATCAACGCAGTTCATTGTGGATGTGTTTCAGAGGATTTATGTGAGCAACCCTTAATAAAATAGGGGGGAGTAGGTTTGATATCCCAACAAGCCCTTATGTCCTGTATCCATGCCATTAAGTACATGTATATAATCAAATAGGCCATTTATTATTATGAATCACTGTATTTAAATTGAATTAGATGTTGTTCCTAAAGAAAGTGTAGTGTGATGGTTTCACATAATATGATAACAGACTAGATCACTCAGTTGTTTTTCTTAAACAGTTCTGTAACAGAATATCCCAGATGACACATTGCTGCTTTTAGACTGATGATATTTTTGAAATTAAGTTTAGAAAAGTTTTCATCAGCCCATTAATCATTTACTCAGCCCTCAGAGGACTTCCAGGCAAACATAGTTCTGATTCAGGATTTCAGCTGATACAGCATTATGCACACTTGTCCTTAGAAAATCCTTTTAGGCACGGTCAAAGTCAACTTTAAATGTATTTGCCAGGGCACTGAGCTTACTCAGACATTTAAGCTCTGCTCTTATTTCTAGCTATAAAAAGAAGCAGCGAATGCTCAGGAAAGCACACCAAACTATCCTTGAGCATAGAACTAATGATGTGAATGTTTGGACTCTGTGATATTCTCGTGTAGTGATGTTGCCAAGGAAATATACATTTTGCCGTCCAAATCTGTGGTGAGGGTTTTCACTTTCAGGAAGTGCTTAAAAATAAAAACAAAGATGTCTAATGTTTGTTTTCCTTCAAGGACAACTTTCAGTCCCTGTTTTCTTTCAGATAATGTCAGTTTGGAGTATTCTTTGTTTTGTATATCTCAGGAATGGTGCTCTATTTGTGCTGCTGTGTGATGCCGTAGCCCGGGGACTGATTCAGCCTCTGTGCGGACCTGACAGCATCGAGCCAGCCCCGCCGGCAGACAGGAGCAAAAACAGACCTGAGAAAGGGATGGAGAAGGCTGCCAGCGGCCAGGGGGTCTTCTTAGACCCTGTTGCCCTTCAGGATGTTCGCAAGGCATTAGAGGTATGTCAGTTTGTGTGGAAGTGGTATGTGGGCAATGAACTCCTGTGTGGCTATACAAATCCTTTATTCATCCCACAGCAGACACATTTATATTGTTGTAGCTAAGGACAGAGCACATCAAAACAAGATGAAGCCGTAGTCCAACTGTAAGAGCCATTTAGGCTTATTATAACTGATGGTAAATGTTTATGTTTGCAAGAAAGTTGTATACTATTTGAATTCAATTTATATGATTTTATTGATCACGAGTTACAATAATACTGTTTTTGTATAGTTTTATATTTTATCCAAGTTTTTTGGATTGCACAAGGGTTTAGTATTATTTTTTACGACCTAGTTTCATGTCAGAAAGCAGATGAGTGCCAGGTCGAGAGGGTTTAGAATGTCAGACAGTCTAGAGTACTTTTTATTTATTCATTATATCAAGTAGGGCTGCACGATATAAAAAAAAATGACATTGCGATATTTTTTTTCCCCTGCGATATATATTGCGTTTTTTTTAACTATATTTAACCGGATGGATCTTAACTGGTTGACTCATCATACCTTAAGTCATGATCTAACATGTCATGATAATGCATGTTGCATACCCTCAAATAACGAGATTCATCTGTGAATGAAGAAGAGAAGAACCTTTTTGTATCCAAAATAGTTCCAGATGGCAGATGTTGCTTTTCTTTTTGGAAGTAAATCTTCATTCTCGCCGGTATTGTCCTCCTGTACCTCGGTCATTTTTTACTGGTGTTTTGATGGTCTGCAAACTAGCGGGGCGGGGCCTGCTGTGATCTGATCAAGAATGATTGGTGATTGGTGGCTTGCTGTTCATGCAGCGCCTGCATGTCACTCACTCAAGTACCCCTGGCATGAGAGCCGCGCAAGTTTTCCTTTTGTAGCAAGCAGCAAAATAATTGTAACATGACGTGTTTGAGTTAATGTACCTACTTAATATCGCACGTCCTAAAAAAGAAAATTGAAAAAAATGAAGGAAAAAAAAAAGATTATTATAAAGAATTAATAAAATCGCGCGTCCCTGCGATGTGAATATCGCGCATGCGCATATCGCGGTTATCGCCATGACACGATATATATCGTTCAGCCCTAATATCCAGTTAAAGTTTCTCTAATTTAGTGGTGGACCGCTAAATGGAATTTACATGTATAAAACCCTCAAGATGTACCTGTGACTGAATGGTCTTCATTAAAGGTATCTTGACACTTTAAAAAACGTGAGTCATAGCTTGAAATCGCCTTGTCTACTAAGTGGCCTTGGAACTATGTATCTTTGATAATTGGCCACTACACTAACATTAAAAAAACTCCAAGACCTTTTCTTCCAATCTACAATGAAAAACACAACCCAGACACTAATCATCTTCTCATCCCAGCGTTTCAGCTGCTGCCACCCGGCTGCAGAGTGAAAGTCCCCATTCCCAGGAAAAACAATTACAAGAAATCCTTTTTTCCATCAGCTGTGACCATTCTCAATAAGACCCTGTTTGAATAAGCCTCCCCTCAATCTCCCTCTACACACACACACACACATGCATACACTCACACACACCTCATCTCAACCCTAAGCCCCCTTTCCAAGCATCAAGAAAGCTTCTTAGACATTCTGCAACCAAACCATGACCGCAACATCACTCATTTTATGTATAATATTTATGTATTGTTAATACTGCTGAGTATCGTGCTCTGTTTGGGATACTTCAATTGAGATTGCTAAGGGTGGGACATCTATAAGCGGTTCAGATCAGACTGGGCTCTAGTTTTGGACAAAGGCTAAAAAAAAATACATTTTTGAACATTAAAGTGACATGTCACAGTGGAGGCAGGAAATACAAACATGCACCTGAAAAGGAACATAATATGTCCTCTTTATCAAACAAATAAATAAAAAGCAAGAGCACACATCCAAGGTAGAAAAAAAACATAAACATAAGAAGCATCATTAAAAAATCAAGTTAACATATAAATATAGAGATATATCAGAGAATAAAAGTATATACTGTATATTGCACAGTGTAATTTTACAACAAGAACAAATAATGTATATATGTAATAGGTATCATTTAGCGCTTTTACAAATAAGGATTGCATACAATTATGTCATTCCTAATATTTGTTTTAAATCAAACCAAATTTGGATAAGATAAGATAAAACTAGGCGTCATAGCGGCAACAGCAATAGGAGTGAGACACAGGATAAGTAGCTGTATTTACTATTACATATATAGAGATATGGGCGAGCATAATTATGAACCTGAATGAATATATAAACATGTCAATACAAACTTCCTTTGTCACATTCATTTGCATAAAAGCTGCACACATCAATAACCATAAGCATCAAAATGTCCTCTCTTTCCATATGTTTATTTCCCACATCAAAATTTATTTGCAAAGCAGTTCATTACGTTACATGACAATTTGCATAAATATGAAAAGAAAAGTCTTAAAACGCAGATAACTAGTTTCAGATATCTGGTAAGACTCCAGTGGTCACTAATTATGTCCAAAACTTCTGTAAAAGATAGGAAATAATCAATTCTGGAGATCAACTGATGAGGTTCAGAGCGTTGTAGAATATCCAATTTTAATGTAATTGAAAACTGGGAAACACGTTGTTCTGGAAGCTGCATGCAAATCACAAAGAAAAGTAAATGTGTTGAGATGGAAGTTTGTAGATTGCCTCTATTTGTTGAAGCACACATGACTGACCCTCGGCCAAATCCCTCTGGTACTGATTGTGGTGACTTACAGTAAGCTGCTTTTTTTTCCCTTTCTGATCTTTCTACTTTGAAAACAATGTATGAATTTCCAGCATTCAAGGCATACGAATCAATCATAATCTCTGAAAGGAGTGTTTCCATAATCTCTGAATGGAGTTTGCTGAATTTTCTGCGAGACATGTTCAGAAATTCTAATTGTAATCTTCTCTACAGATACACTTTAAAGGTTTCAAACTCTTACATTTTCTTTTATTCAAACTAAAGTTTAAACCACCTTACAACCTTGCAAACAAAAATGTATCATACAGACACTGACCTATTTTTATAAAATAATTGGGAAGCTTTGGACATTATTTTGGAGATTTTTAATTTAACGTCATCTGACCTCGATTAAAATGTGCCAAAAAGTGACCTTCTCATACATCCATTCCAAGGGATGTTCTGTAATGCAGCACTTTGATGTATTGTTATGCAAAAAACGTCATTGGGTTCGCCAAAACAGGACAATAATGAAAAGTCAATTTTATAGGGTTCTTACACAAACATTGCATACAGTGACACATTTTAATCAGTTTTTAAAGCAACTTAATGTAAGAATTGCTGGCTTTCTTAGCTTCAGTTTTAAGCATAGCATTGGTGCCGCTCCCCTGTCGCCAGGATTCACCCCAGGACTGGAAACCTTCCCATTGCAGCGTTGCCCAGCTTATAGAAGTTTAAAGGTCCCATCTCTTGACCATTTCTACTGATCATAATTCCATTGTTGAGGTCTACTAGAATAGATTTACATTGTTCAATGTTCCAAAATCACATTGGTTTCTCATACAGCATCTCTGTATAGTATGTGTATTCACTCTCTGTCCTACACCCCTTGTTGGAGCTCCTGCCCACCCCCTCCCTATGAGCCCACTGTGCTCTGATTGGTCAGCTTGCCCACTCTGTTCTGATTAGTCATCCACCGTGACAGCTGAACATCAGTGTTTAAGTTTTACAATGGCGTTAGCAACCAGAAAATGACACCAGTAATGACAAACTGCTGCATGGGGTCTGGGTGCCGTGTTGGCGGGACGTTGCGGGGCTCGCTGCTCCACCCTTTGAGGCTCGAGGAGCGGACAGTGAGCTGGATTACTGGTGTTGTTTCCTGGTTGCTGCAGGGGATCGGAGCTCCGCCGCTGTGAAAAGGTGTGTGTGTGTGTGTGTGTGTGTGTGTGTGTGTGTGTGTGTGTGTGTGTGTGTGTGTGTGTGTGTGTGTGTGTGTGTGTGTGTGTGTGTGTGTGTGTGTGTGTGGACTTGACGTGACATCAACCTGCCCCAGAAGAAAAAAAAATGGGAAAAGAAAATTCTCCAACGGGGTGTTCCGGGGCAGCATAGACAGGTCTTTTCTGTGTTAGAGTTTTACTCGCTACAGGGTGTACTTTGAGGGTTTGTGACTCTGCAGACCGTTTACATGCAAAAAAAGCTACATAACACACAAGGGGACGGTAATAACCGGAAAAGCATGTCATTGGACCTTTTTAAAGAGAACTGGATACAGCATTGGAGACAGAGCCCCGTTCAATTGTTGTATAGCCTTATGCTGCGTTCACACCGGACGCGATGCGAATATTTGCTTCGCTCTAATCGCTCGAGTTTCACCGCGGCTGCCAGCTGTGGTTACTAGCATTACTCAAACAAGACGCGCTGGCTCGGGAGCTACAACTACAACAAAATGAACATATTTTACCGTGATTAAATTGTAATACACGTTTCTAAATTATCCCGAAGTAACAACATACTGATACCGGTTAGTAAAAACCATGAATTAATGCTTGACAAGTCTGCAGACAGACGGCAGGCAAAAAACCTTTTAAAATGCTTGTTTTCTGAATGGAGATTGGGTTTGTACTTGTTTAAGCTAACAGCTAACGGCTGATGTTTTCTGGTTGAACGTCAGTGACGGCAGGCTGAGATCCTCACCGCTGAGTGGCTTCCGCGAGAGCGCGTCACATGAATTTGACGCTGAGTTGAAAAAATTTGACTCTCGCGTTTGATGCGGCACTGTTCAATCGCGTGATTCGCGCCGCGTCCACCGCTTCATGCTCGCCGTCGGAGCGAATTTGCGTCTGTCCGCGATTCTGCATTGACTTTACATGTAATCGCGCCTCCCCCAAACATCGCATCGCGTCCGGTGTGAACGCAGCATTATGCACTTTTTGTGGGATATTGAACCACATGCAATTAAATTGAGAACAGTGGTACCATTCACACTTTTGTTAATTCAGTATCGAAACATTTTTTTAAGGTGTTCATTAGGGTCTGAGACCAGAGGTCGGCGAAGACCCTATTGTAATCGCTCGCAAAGCGAGCGACAACCCTGCCAAACACACACAAAACAGGGACAACGACCGGCAAAAGCACAGAAAAAGCCTCCGAAATCATGACGGCAGATAGCCCGCGCGCACGTCACTACAACTTGCATGATTTATATCCATTGGATACATTTAATTTAATTGGTTAGACAACCATGCGAAACACACACAAAACAGGAAAAACGACGGGCAAAAGCACAGAAAAAGGGTCCTCACAACCACTACATAATTGATATCGATAGGAATATTAGGGTCTGAGACCAGAGGTCGGCGAAGATCCTATTGTAATCTAATCCTAACTCATGACAGTATGTAGCCCGCGTGAGACATGGGCACATCATATGCCGTTGCCACGGAAACGCCGTATCCCTCGCCATTAAACACAACATGGTCGCAACTCAAAGGAAAATCGTCCAAACGGCACCAGACTTCAGATGATGGTTAATGGCCCGGACCTCAACATGTCTATGTGCCACTTGTGAGTTTTCCTTACAAGCTGTTGCCATGACAACGCATCCCTCGATCTTAAACAAGACATTGCTATAACTCCTATGAAAATGGTCAAAACATGTGTGCTAACAGTCCAGCCCTTATTAAGACATCATACGTTGAATTTTTGAGATTTTGTCAAATGCCGTTGCCATGGCAACACAATGCTCGCCATGAAACACAGTTTTCTCATAACTCCAGTGAACATGCTCCAAACGGCCCAAAACTTCACATCTTTGATAACGATGTAGACCTCAAGTCATCTAAGCCTATTATGGGGTGTCATCAAATGTCGTTGCTATGGCGACAGATCACTCTCCATCAAACACGATTATGTTACTGCTTTACCTCCTATGTACATTGTCCGATCGGCTTGAAACTTCCCACATTTGCTCATGGCCGAGTCCGGAAAACATCTGCTCCTAGCTTTAATTTCATATCTGATCATTTTAAGTTGCTTCAAAAGCTACATGGCTTTCCATTAAGCTTTATACCTCCTTTACATGATATCATTATAGAGCATCACTGGTGAGAAGTTGGAGCACTTATATTGTTATCCTGTTCACCCTTTGACATACATTACTCATCCAACCATGCCTGCACACACATACAGTACACACACACTCACATGAAGCTTTAATGACTGCTTGTCTTTGTGCCACTGAAGTTTAATGTGTCTGTTCTCTGAATGTGCTGCAGCTTTTTTCTTTTATATTCAAATGATCCACCATGAATATCAGCTCTAACTCTAGATGAAAGGCACTTTATCAGTGAATTATTAACTACATTTCATTGTGTCTGTTTCCTTTTTGAAGGAAAGATAAAAAATTATCCTTGCCAATATATTTTTTATAAATAGTCGACAGTACATCCGGGTCAGATAAAGTGTCTAACTTGAACAAAGTCTTACTGAATTTTCAGGCTTTTATTTCAGTCAGTCTGTCGAGTCTGCAGCTGACAGGCTGGGAGAGGGCCTTGGGCTAGAGAAGGTCCAGACTCTGCAAAGTTGTATAATACATATCTTGTTCTATGGTATATGATACAAACATGAACATCTTAACATCATTTAGGATTATATGTAATCCTGACAATGTTAATGTCATGTTCTTTTCACTGAGCTTTTTTAACTCTAGTAGTGTTGTAGGAATGAGTCCTTAAACCTGGAGATAACTGGAACGTGTTCGAGTTAGATGCCTGAAATTAGCTCTGTGGCTAACACAAGCTTAAAAGATTTTCAAGCTTTTTTCTAAGACATCAAATAAGTCAGAAATTACCCCACTTGTTAGTGTCCAAAGATTCTGTGTCATAAAAAGCTAGGTTTCTAACAAGTGACTAAATAAACTACTTAACATCATCACACCGGCACAAGTTCGACTTTAGCTTAACCGTGACGATGTGCAGCTATTCAACCGTGATGAAGTTTGTTTATAACCTAATGCTATAGCTTTTAACTTCTGGCCATTGCATCTACAGAACACTTCAACAATCATAAAGTAGTACAATGTGGATATTATCCTGTTTAACAAAACATGGTTAGGATCGTAAACATGTGTGGGCCCCAGATCTTATTTTCAGCATTATTCCAAAATCTGATTGAGAAATCCCATTGCTCTTTGTCAAAGGACACATTGTGACAAACTTCCGGTACCAAGTACTTCTAGCCAGTAGAATGTAAGTTCATTGATGTTTCTCTGCTCTCTCTCCTAGCTGTGTGACTATGCCCTCAGCATATCCACCTGCAATACCCCAGGGAAGACCGTCCCCATCGCAGCAAGGAAACAGGTGGTGGCCACATGGGTTCAGGTCAAGAGGCTGTTGCAGCAGAATATCGGCACAAAAGTCGACACTAAAGATGAGGTACTATTCTCAGCCCAAAACTACTGTATCCATGGTGCTTCATTTAATGTTGCTAATCCATGTTATTTTAAAGAATTGTTCGTTACATTTCAGTCGAGGATTGGGTTGCACCAGTCATTCATAAATTACATTACATTACATTGCATTTAGCTGACGCTTTTATCCAAAGCGACTTACAATAAGTGCGTTCGACCAACAAGATACAAACTAGAAGAAAACAGAATCATATAAGTACATCAGGTTTCATAGAGCCAAACATTTCAAGCTCTTCTCAACTGGCTTTAGATAAGCCAGTCCTTCATTAGTATATAAGTGCTTTTTTAGTAATTCTATTGCTCGAAGTGGAGTCGAAAAAGATGAGTTTTCAGTTTGCGCCGGAAGATGTGCAAGCTATCTGCTGTCCTGATTTCAATGGGGAGCTAAATCTATACTGAGCTACAACGTACACAGTACACCAGGGGTCGGCAACAGGCGGACCGCGGTCCGGATCCGGACCTAGACACCGACCTACACGGACCCGAATCAATACATTAATAGGGGATTTCAATTTTGACGGGGCGATTCTATTTTAACCGCCGCCGACAGGAGGCGAAAGAGACGAGCGAGCGATACAGGGAGAGAAACACAGAAGACGAGACAGCGACAGAGAGGCAGCGGCAAAGAGAAGCGGAGAGGAAAGTGAACAGGCGTGTTAGCAGCATACGGGGAGAGACATTACACATGGCGCTCTCCAAGAAGAGGAAAGTGGACAGTGAGAACAGAGCTTTTAACCCTGAGTGGACGGCCTCATTCATGTTAATCCTGCCCACTGGGAGCACAGAGTCCCATTTGTTCAGAGACCGTGGTGCTCATTAAAAGTGCCAAAACACAAAGTGTCTGGCCAAACATTCCCTCTCAAGTAAGAACTGAGGTCACAAAAAATAAGCAATCTCAGAGCCCAATATGATAAGTCGACCAGGATCAACATTAAAACTAAATATCGTTCCAGGGCAGACTAACCGAGGCTAACCAATGAGCACCTGCATGTGTATGAGAATGGCCCTGGCACCATTTCAGCCCAGATTTAAACTCCTGGCAGGACAAGCTCCAGCTCAATTCTCGCACTGAATTAAAAAAAAAAGTGAGTGAGACACCGAATATAAGAGTAACAGAAAGAGAAACTTTAAAACTGTTCAATTGTTATGATGTGTAAAGACTGATATTGTTCTATAATCGTCTGAAACAGTTAAGTCATGATGTGAAACGGTTAACAAAGAAAGAGGGAAACTCAAGCTGCTGCTACACTTTATTTTATTTATTTTATTTATCTAAAATTAAGCACTTTTAAGATGCACATATTTTCAAAAGCTATTTTATTTATTTTCTCAATTTAATTTTTAAATGCACATTACACATATCCACAGTATTTACTGTATATCTGTATAGTTCAATGTTAATTGACAATAAATATTGTTGTTTTTTTAAATTGTACTTTCTTTATTTGGCAGCCAGTTGTTGATTACATGCAGACGTTTATACAGCTGCAGGCTACTTATATATCACACTAATTAATAAAGCAACTTAGACATTTTGATGTTCCGGACCTTTGCATGGGGAGATTTTCTCTAACTGGACCTCATTGAATTTTAATTGAATACCCCTGCTGTACACCATCAACACTTAAGAAAAGTGTTAGCTTGTAAAGGCTTTAGTCCTATGCCAATCCTTTGATAGGAAACATCTGTGGCGCTGTCCCGTCGAGAGGAAATCAACTAAGTAAATCCATCTCAAGCTTAACCCTGCCTTGCCAGATGGTTTGTCATACAGAACCATCTGAGAATCGGTCATTAGAAAATGTTTGGAAAAGGGCAGGTACCTTAAAAAAAAGAAATGGCAGGTGATTGGATGAACCATCTGTAGATCAAACTTTTAATGAAGCTAGAATAATAACAATATTTACGATAAGAGCAAAAACATATTTGTCAATGAGAAAGGCCTTATTTTCTTTGAATAAATAAATACTCTCCAGTTCTGATACCATTGATGCTAATGTAGCATTTAGGCTAACCTCACATCCGCAAGAATCCGGCTACTGTTCAAGGCTAACATGACCTAAAAAAACGAGTTTATTACCCTTGTAAAAAATCTATTAAATACTTTGCTTTAGTTACATGTTTAATTTAGTACATGTATGTGTAGCTCAGATTGTAATATTATAACTTATTATAATAGTCTTATATATTACTTAGAATAGCTATGTTGAACTGTTGGTTATATATTATTCTTTTTAATTTGAGGTGTATTGCGTTCTTTTTCGGGTGCACTACTCTGGCGCCCAAGATTTATATTAATGTTATACAGATGGCCGGTATTAATGCCAACTACACCTTTTCTACAAAGAAGCCATGAAGTCCACACTCTATATGCCAAAGGACAGTTTACACTTGGCGTCCCATACACCACACTTTAAAAGTGTAAAGTTCTACAAAGCAGACATTTTATGCAAGAGCTGTTTGAAAAAAGGTGAACTGTGTTCACTTGTCAAAAGTCAGATGAATTCTTCAGGAGTTGAGTCACTGTTGTTGCAATTTTAAAAACAGCATCACAAAAAGCCGGCTTTGAAACTTTTGTATTGCACTACTGAATATGTAAAATGTAAAGGAAATGTAAGCGCTTATACAATCCTTCAGTTTTACAGACTGCTTGATTAGTCACCCTAATCCTACGACTGTTTGGTAGCCAAGTGTTCCCGGCCCTACATAAATGCCTTTAGCCTGCCTTGACTCATAACGAAATTAGTTTTTCTCCAGTCAAGAAATGCCGCGTTATTATAGAAGGGATTTATCTTTTATCTAAATAAATCATTACTCAACTAATTTCCCACACAATAGCAAGTCATGCATTATCAAAGAGGCTGTATTTGGGAAACATACAATATCATACAGCAGATCCATTTATAATTTACCAGCAAATATTAATACGTGTATGTGTGTTTTCTATCATTGAACTTGAAGGATGAGTGTTTGTTCTGCAGTTGGCTCAGTATGCTTGGTTTTTCCCTTATTTGCAGTGTGAGAATGAGGAAGTGTCCGCCATGACGCGAGTGCTGGTTGCAGTGGAGATGCTCCAGTGCAACAGGAACCCGAGGCATATGGAGTTCTCTGTTCCCAGCCTCTCCACAGTATGCGCTTCTTCTCTCGTCATGTTTTCCTACAGTAGCTGTTGCCCAGATGGTAGCAGTAACAGATGCCAATACGGCCCCTTAGCCCTCAGACCCTGTCTTAATCTCATCATGTGTCAATATCTTCTAAATAATGTCGCTGCCTTGATCATTATGCTTTGAGAATCCTCCTCTCTAACACTCTGTGCCCTTTATCTTTTCCCACACCTGTGTGTTTTCTCTCTTTGGTAAGATTCCAAACCAACCCCTGCACCCCCCCACTCCGTTAAAAACTGCCTGTAGTCTCCCTCTCAGCTGAACGAGGCTCCATCTTCAAGGTGGAGGCTGTATAAAGTTACTCCCCTCTCCACCGCAGAATCTTTCATGCAAACAAGCAGACGGAGTTGAAGTGGGAGCAGGTGTAAGATTCAAATTGTGCATGTCAATCAATCAATCAATGTTTATTTATATAGCCCAATATCACAAATGTTACATTTGTCTCAGTGGACTTCACAGTTTGTACAGAATATCAGTATGACAATACGACACCCTCTGTCCTTAGACCCTCACATCGTACAAGGAAAAACTTCCAGAGAAAACCCACAGTTTAAAGGGAAAAATGGGAGAAACCTCAGGGAGAGCAACAGAGGAGGGATCCCTCTCCCAGGACGGACAGACGTGCAATAGATGCCGTGTGTAAATTGAAAAGATAATACATTTGCAACATAGATAGTCCAAATGTTTGGAAATGCATGTGTGTATAATAGGAAGATGAATCCACGAGTATATCCATCCAGGACTTATGATCCAGGACCACAGCCACGACTCAAGATCCAGGACTCGCAATCCATGACACAGGACCGCAGGATCATCCATGACTCCGGATCCCGGCGTATATAGACACCAAAAAGAAAGACATTTGGGGAAGCTGGGTTAATCGGAACATGAGAGTACACAGGTATAGACAGAGAGAAGGAAGAAGTAAGATGTCCCCCGACAAACTAAGCCTATATCAGCAAAACTAAGGGCTGAATCTAATCAGCCCTAACTATAAGCTTTATCAAAAAGGAAGGTCTTAAGCGCACTC